TGCCCCAACCAGCTTGCCATTCTGCCCCACTGCAGTAAAGCGTCTTGCCCCACCAACATAAGCTCATTTGTAGGACTTTCTTGCTTTGCAAATAAATCGTCTCGCGTTGAGGAGCTTTGGAATATTTGTGTAATGCAATATGTAGATTATCTCTGTTATGATAGGAATTGTTTCAGTGTAGCATTTAATTCAACCAATCGGATATCGTAGGTTTGACGACTTTTGCCCCACCAATTTCTCAGGAAAAGCTCCACCCATGCATCCGATCATTAAAAGCAATGGATTGAACAGGCCGGGGAGCAGAGCACTAACGCAAAACAGCATACCGCAGCGCAGCGCCAAGCTATGGAATGATGCAACAAACAGCTCTGAGACAAAGTTCTGATTTATCATCTAACCTACGTCACGAATGTACCAAAAACATATCACTCACCCCATGGGGAAACAGAGTAAAATTTACCACTTACGTTTGGCACGGCGATGGTTCTCTGGAATGCACCATGATTGTTTGTACCTACGCAATCAGCCGGCTGGCTTGGATATTGAATATCACCTTGGCTCCAGGGAGCCGAAATAAGCGTTAAATGATTTGTCGAGGAATTTTCGTGATTGTCTTTAAACGGTTCTCCCCATTTCCTCGACGTAGCCAATATTCGACACCATCAAATCAAACAAAGCACACCATTCCGAGGATACCTGCTACCAAACTAGTTGCATCAGGTTAGGTTCGATCGATTAGAACCGTCCTCGTTACAAGACTACGATCTTAGCAAGTCCAACGACACACAATCTCGGTCTTTCTACACACGCATTAGCACGGCGTAGTCCGATACCGCTGGCACAATACCGTCTGACGCATCAGCAGAGCTCTCCTCCGCACAATGATGCGATTCTCCGGTCGTAAACCACGCGTGACCGAAACAGCAGCTCCCTACTGGAGGCTGATTCAGAGCTGAGGTTGACGCTACCACGGCTCGGCGGTCGGTGGTGAGACACGGTCAGCACAGCTGCTACCAGCGCATGGTTTGGCCTCTAGACCCTCGGCCTCCAGGGGCAAGGAATGACCACAAGGGAAGGTCAGTCTGTTACTGGACATGACAGCTGGTCGCACTGTGAGGTGTTAGCTAGAATTAGACAGAAGAGACCTCACTTCACCCATCTGGTAAAAAGTGGCCATCGCGCCGGGCGGTGAGCGTCCAGGCGTGGGCGGTGTGAGCATTCGGGAGGAGCTCACCCGGGAGCCAGCGCCCATCGCTCACACAGCGGGGTGTCGCACCTCTAAGTCGCACCCATCGACATGGCCCGATTCAGGCCTTACAAGGTGAGGAATTCGAGAGTTCAGGGCCAAGTGGGCACCCACAAACGCCATCAAACACCATCAAACAAAGGATGCCGTCAGCGACAGTTGAATTAATTAAATTTGGCCTAACCAAGATGACATCGCAGGGCATGTTTTGGGTCTAGTCAACCCACAGGTTGCATAATGCATATCACATGAGCGGACAACGAATAGCTTTTTAAACAGGAAACAGAAAAGCAGATGAGTCTCGATCACCGTCTGGTCGCGAGGTGTGAATAAAAGAGTTAAGTCTAGTTAAAAAAGTATTAGCGTGTGGTACACAAAAATAAGCGGTGAAACGTGGATTTTCATTGCTTTCCTTACGTAGTTCCTTACGTATTTTCATTGCTTTACGTATTTCTCTCATACGCTTGATCGCCCGCTCCGTGTCACAACTCATCAAAGCAGCCAGCTAAATCTCTAGCCCAGGCGTGGCTCGGCGGCCGCGGACAGTCCATATATGACGTCAGAGTGGGCGGGGACGGTCCATATATGACGTCACTGGTGGACTGAGCCCCATCCCTCCCCAGTTCGCGGAGAGCTCCAGAGTCAATATCCATTAGTGACGGTCGTGCAGCCGGCACAGCCCACGCAGAGGGCCGGATGGACAATGTCAGTGACTGCTCGCGCCGAATGAGCGGTCACGAAGGGTCACTGAAGGTCACTGATGGTCAATGAAAAGACTGCTGGAGTTCAATGAACGGCCACGAAGGGTCAGTGATGGTCAATGAAAAGTCTCCGAAAGTCTCAGAATGGGCGGTAGAGAAAGGTCAGTGATGGTCACTGAAAGACCATTCAAAATCGATGAAGGGTCACTTGGCCAATAACGGCCAGGAGCGACCACTTACGACTACCAAAGGTCACTGAAGAATCACGACTGACGACGAACGCTTTCGGCCAGTTTCAACCACTGAAGGATCACCAAAAGGACCATCTCGTAGAGGACTGACCGGAAGGGGTCGTCTCGGTCGATATTACCACGATGAACATTTGGACAGTAATGGATCTGACTGGCATCGTACCACGCAGAACATGACAGCACTGTCACCTCGTTGGACAGCGGTGTCGGAACTGGGTGTCAGGTGTTAGATGAGTGGAGTGATCACCGGCGTTCAGCACACCGGACAGCCGGTCACGCACGCTAAGTCGAACGGTGGCGGTGAGACCCAGTGGCCAGTTCATTATCAGCCGTGGAGACTGCAGAGCCGTCGCTAGCTATTGGAAATGTGTCAAATTACATTAAATCAGACATGCATTACAAAACACGTGCAGTGATGTCCAGCTCATGGCTTTTACATAATGAACTGATAACATGTGTCGCATATTTGAAGCCGAGTGATTGCATCATCCGCACATAATAGTCGAGTTAATTTGGCCGAACACAACCTGTAAATGATGGAACTTCTAACTATGTAGTTGGTATATTCCTGAGTGTCAGTCACTACCTTTCATAAATGCACTTCACGGAATATAGCCAACACCTATCCATTGATAAATATAACTTAGTCTGGAGTGGATACTGGAAATTGAACACACCAAATTATCAATCCAAGCGCCTCATATTGCTCTCATCAGTCTTCAACACGCGCTTTTTCATGCATCTCAACCTCAGGAAGACAGCGAGGTCATCGGACGTCGGCCGAAGGAAGAGGGGGGGAGGAGGTGACTCGGACAGGGCACGAGGGTGGCACGCGCACAGGACAGGGAGCAAGGTAACCGCAGCCTTATCGTCCAGATGGCCACAGCGCCGACAGCGCCACCACGCGGCGGCGCGGCGAAACACGGAGACCGGGCCTTGAGGTCAGGCTAGCTAAGAACAGAGGGCGCTGACCTAACGAATGGTGTCAATCGAGCCGCTATATTCCGAGGACTGTGATTCAGAAATATCGACAGGATGAGCGACACGTCAATTACGGATGTGAGCAGAGTATATAGACCAACATGTGAGCACATGTCTGGAGATGGGATGGCAGTGGTGTGGACACGAGTGGAAACATTCGCTCCTATCAGACCCCCACATAACACTTGGGACTAATGAGCTCTATTGCGTCGAGAAAGATACCGAAGCCGATTACCCCAGTGAGCAATGAGTCGCATAAGATGGATATTGGAAATGCAACCGCTCTTTCGCAATAAGTCCTGTATTGGGTGCCATCGTCAGTGGACAAATCAAGTGCGAATGTCATTATTTGCGACACTTTTGCGTGAAACGAGGCAAGACAAATGCCATTTTGTTATCCAACAAGAGATTGGCAAACGGCGAGCCCATCTCCTTTAGAGCATTTAGAGTAGTCACTAGACCAGCAAAGCCAGCAAATCCGAATATGATATCCATTTCCTTAGGGACTGGCAGTACTATCCACTTCCAGCAACGTCTCCTGAGTTTTGCGGTCCATATTCCATTGCCCGGAAGGGCATCGCCCCGCGGTGGTCATCCCACTGCCTTTGTACACCACCGCCCGTCCCTGGAACGTCCATTCATTGTGCGTTATCTGTCCCAGTGCAGCTTCCTTCCGCTGACTCAGCGGCGCCGGAGTCCTCGTGGCCGGTCGACGACGACCGCCAGCTGCCAGCCGCGTGACCCGTGTGTGACCCGCCCGAGACACGTGGACACACGGGGACACACGTGGCATCGAAAAGACGACACGTGACGGGGCACTTGTCTTTGGAACATGGAACTGGATATAAAATACGATTGTTATTGAAAGGTTTGCAGTGGCATACCGAACCGTTCAAAGGATGGGAGTTTGAAGTACCGACTTTGAGCAGAATGGAAGACAAAGACGTCGCAATAAAGGAAACCACCGAAAGCTGAGTTTTAAAAGGCTCTCCTTCAGCCATGGAGTTGTGACCATGAATTTGAACGAAGACCCACGACTGAGGGGCTAGCCAGCCCGGCAATATCCATTAGAGGTCATTGATCTATGCCCACGAAGACGGCGGCACGGGCATCCCCCATTCCGTGACAGTACTTCCACGTGATGCTGGCTTTGTGCTGAATTCCGGTGTGTTCATAGGCGAACTTTCGTGCTCAGAGAACCAAATACGGCCATAGAACAAGAACTTATCCATTAACAATGGATGAAAACCGCAATGTCGAAACAAATTACCGGAATGATGATAACGGATTCGCACAAAACAAGAGTAAGAACGGCTTAGAGCTGTCAGACCAGTGTTTCCTCAACCCAAAGTACAATAGCGGACTAGTAACTGAATTTCATTTTCTTTTCATGATCCCTTTTGCTCCCAACGAATACCGGTCAGCGTCTTATATGGTCGGATTACAAGCACCCTGTAGAAAAAGGGCAAAAGAGAATTCGCAGGTAAATAATCAGCATATGAACAAACGCCCATAGTTTTCTTAAAACGTGGCTTCGTTCGAATGAGCTACACGAATTGTCTTTTGTTCGTCAGGGGTCAGAAGAAGTCAATAGTTTAAAATGGCAACAATATTTGGCGAGAGGTGCGGCATGGTATGCTACAATTTATTGCTTTAATATTATATAGCATATGTTCGTTGTTAGTTAGTTAGTTATGCAGCTGCCAGCTACCGCAAAAAGATGGACTAGTTATACTGTTGGGTTGGACTATTCAACTGACAGAAATGCACAATGCACATTGCATACATATCTACGCCATCTATTCATATGCAAACAAAAAATTAAATGTACAAACCCTGTATTTTGCAAGTAGGTAGAATCGATGCTTCGATCAACCACGCACTAGACCTTTGAATCTCCCTGAACACCCACTAATTATCACAGAGTATCACAATGTGACTGGCACTATGTGAATCAAGTTCAAGTACTAACCAATATTTAGCAACGAAGATGATTGGCGCTGCTCGCTCTTGCTATTCCGTGCGCTTTTATATAAAAAAAATACATCACAGCCAAACAAGTCGAAAACAGGGACGTGGTGCGGTGCAAGATGTCAGATGTTGTGTCACTGAATGCGATTCCCCTGTCGGCGTTTCTACTAGGCAATTGGCTGCACCATCGTGATGCAATTCTCAGCCGTCATGAGCCCAAAAAGGTGTGCCCAAACCAAAGTACCACCAAACTAACCGAAGTCAAATGCTTCCTTATCTCCTATTCTTCACGAATCCACCCGGTGATTCCAAAATAACAAAAAGGCGCAAATAACGAGAAAAACAATCCAGCGTATCTCCCAGAAAACCATTTCCACAGCTGATCACACCATCTGAGGAAACCAGCGCCATACAAGCTGCATTACTGCTATCAGCTGGACAAGAGATCTGCCACGTCGGACACAGCAGTATCAGAATAACTCCGGTAAGAACCGTGTGCTACGTGGCCGGTAAGCATCATGTGTCATCTGACCGGCAACCAGTGTTTTATCTGGTCGGTAAGCACCGTGTGTTACCTGTCCAGCGCGGTTTCAGAGCGACTGGTCCAGTACAGACGAGTCCACGGGCAGCCGACCCGTCACCACCGTATAGAGCGCCGGCGGACCCACGTCGGCCAGAACGGCCGCACACAGGGGCACTCTGTCCGTCGGCACGGCAGATATCTCGGCCACTCGGTCTTCCGGCCTGTCAAACAGGAACAGAGACATAAATTAGATATTGTTGATTATGTGCATCAGATGTTTACATCTCTGTTATTCAACATACTTGTGGTAAAATCAGGTCAGACAACACGCCATAAAGCCAATAGCCCAGCTGTCTAATTCTAGCCATGATCAGACTGGTGGAAAAATCAAGCCACGTAGCTTAACAATAATGCAGTCTATAAGCCGTCCGAGACAACAACATATTTTTTTTTACATAAGTAAGCAAGGAAACATTCCATATAATAAGCCAACAGTTTTGCTCCAACGCGAATCAGTCATGGTAAAATCGGGCCGCGTAGCACGCAATTACTGTAATCAATAAGACAGTCGATTCGTCCTTACGCAGTACAACATTCCACCTAACAAAACACGTGTAACAAAATGTCGATTATGTTACGGAATAGATTGGTCACGTTCAAAGAAGGACCCGCCGCATAACTGCGTGCCCTGGCTTCAGAATTAGAAAGCATTACATAAGCACATACACACACAGACAGACTGACAGACAGACAGACAGACACAGAACCTTGAAAAACACCCGGACATGCTGTAGATAGCCCAAGTCGAAAGCAAGGCGCTACCATCAGACGATAACAGAAACTTTAAAACAGCAAGCCGCATCACCGTGTGATAATCGCGATGCTATATGCCCGTTAGTGATAACTTTCACCCGCCAGCTCGAGTCCGGTATAGCCCTAAATTGCAAGGTAATAATGGAACTGTTCACAAGCGCGGCTAGTGAACTTGGTAAATGCAGCGCATCCTTCAAATGGGATCAGTGCAGCCAGCACAAGTCCAAACCAGGCTCATGGTAGAGTACAAGTTTTACTGACAGTTATGTAATTTTTCACCGAGTGAGGATAAGTAAGTCAGACCATTCTCAATTTTCTTCTATGTATGCTTCAGTCAAGCTTACAGCGGCTTATGTGTAATAGCCCATCAAATTTGAAAAAAAATCGGAGGCTTTCTTACGCAAGCAACTCAACTTCAATACGTACCACCGCAAGTAGTTACAAGGACGAACAAAACATGACCTAAACCTCCCGAAACTGCACCTTCACAGCACGAAAAGATATATAACCACACCTCGTTCCGTCACCAAAAGACCGGCGCGGCTTGCCGTGTATTTCCGGCCTCCTTACCTGACGATGAACACCCGAAATTCCGGGAGCGGGGGCGCCGACTTCCGGAACGGAGCGTCCGACGGATACACGTCATAGACGGGCTCCGGGCCCGGAGCCGGGGGTGGGGGAGGCGGGGCCAGCTGCAGCCGGGCCAACAGCTCGGCCGGGGAGCCCCTCCAGCCGGGAGGCACCAGCGACTCGGAGGGTTCCTCCGCGGACGCTGGTGTTTTTGGCGATGCCGCCAGTTCCGCGGCCTGCAGGCAAAGGACAGTCGTAAGCGTTTCGTTCAGGGACTCCAGAGCCTCTGGGGAAGAGTCGACCCCAGAAGAGTCACATCTACAGCCGACAGCCATCAGCCGAGCATCAGAACATTTATCGTAATTATCCCATGGAACTTGAGGTCGAACGAATATTGTTTTTATGGTAATTAAAAGGTATCTTGACATGATAACAAAACATATATTATCAATGCAGAAACTATAGCGATTTTCCTTCCAACACATTTCAAGAAAACTACAGTACTTCTGTTGCATCCGAATACAAACTCTAAAAATGCTTCCCATAATACATAAAAACGTGAATGTCACTGGCTCGATGACAAACATTTACCGAGGCCGCATGCAAAATCCTAATACTAGTAGAACGGAACTTATAGCACAATGGCTCACTTATTAGAAATCAAAGTCAACAAACCACAAAACTTCTTCGTGGCGATATAACTGACTCAAATATGGTAACGGTGAACGGAACAATGGCAATTTATGCCAAGAATCAGCTTCACAAACCGCAGTTTCCATAAATTGTACACAATTGATATTAGGTAAGCGGCAAGCGGATCAGCGAAACAAAGCAAGACAAGATTACTTTAAACTCGTAGCTAACCGTAGTATACTACTGACAAAGGTACTGACGATTCAACACATTTTCGGATCACAACAGGGCAGGGCTGGTAGCTAGGGTTGGCCTTAAGGAGAGCTAGGACTGATGCTGGGATTCTGGTTGGCATTATTGGCGTCTGGACTAGGTTGTTCACCGGTTCTGCAGTCTGCTCTGCATGCCACCTTGAAATCCAACACGGTATTCGTCTCCCCGCTATTGTGACCCCATCCGCCCGGCCTTTACCCGCACCCACCTTTTGTTTGAACTCTGCCCAGTTGCGGACGGGCGTGCCGATCACCGGCAGACAGCTTGGATACCGGTCCCCTGGTCTGTTCTTCTTGGAAAGCTCTAACAGACGGCCGCGCCGCGCTGCAGCCAGGTCAAAGGTGTACCAGTGGTTCCGCGGCTGCACACCAGGCGGCAGCAGCTCCGCCGGCGGCGCTCGCAGCATATAAGAGTCTGCGAAGATCGGTACGTGGGGGAACAGACAGCGTTCAGCGCTGAAGTCGAGTCTCTTGAGCGCCAATAGAGTACTATTTTCCCTTGTCGGTGAGGGAGGAGCTCTCTGCTGATGCTCGGGGGTGACCACCGCTGCCGGACTATCGCCGATTTCCATGGCAGTTGCTCCTGTGTGGTCCCCGCCAGTAAGGTCCATTCCATCCACCATTACACTGTCCAGCCTGTTCTCCGGAGCCGTGGCCGCTGAGGGCGGGTCACTGCTCTCTGCATCAGCTCTCGGCTGCTTCGGCTCCGGGGTGACCGCTCCGCTCGAGCTGCCACGCTGATGGCGCTTCGAGCTGCGATTGGCGGTATACTGATCGAGCCGGATTTTACGTTCGTAATCTGGAACAGCGCAGCAAAACAGCGATGACTCAATGAAAAAAATGTGGATGACAGCTATTGTGAGTAGCTAGTAAAAATGATTAAAATCGCTGAAGAAAACACACGATTGAGCACCAGGTAAACTCCGATAAACGCAATCATTGCATGATAGGCGAATCAACAATGGGGGCTTTCGCAACACAAAAGGCCGTCCTAGTGGCATTAGGAAAAATGTTTGGTCGCCTGCCATGTAGCTGCTGACTATAAGCAGCGTTCGCTGGCACGGGTACGAGCCGGGCCGGCCTGCGGTGACCGCCACCGTCCGTCGCCTTACCGGTGGCTCGGTTTTGCCGCGTGCTGGAGCCGTGTCGCACTGGCCGGTACCCAAGACGGGTCAGGTGCGCATACAGACGGTACTGCCGCTCTCTGTCGGGGTCTGAGGAGAGGACGCGAGCGCGAACCTCCTGTAGACTGCACGGCTGGCCGTCAGAGGTCATCTGGATCACTCCCTGGGGTAAAAAAAAAGAGACGGGAATTGGAGTTAGACGGGGTCGGTTTATATAGCAGATGTGGGGGATTCAGTACCATCTCCAATAGAGCCTGTTTTACACATCCAGCCTGTCCTACCTTCACTTTAAAAGAACACTCCTATAACAGACATTGTTTGTTCTCAGAACACTCGCCCAACCTCTCTCGATAAACTCTCATTCTCTATACCCCCAGACCATCTGGCAAGAACAGACATCAGACAGAAAAAAAAAGAAACGAAAAGTGCCATGAGGCTCGCAAACTGTACAGTCCACAGCAGAAGTAATGTTGGGTTTCAGTCATGGGTATGTTCTGCTTCTGAAGCTTAGGAACGATTAGCCAGACTACAGTGAAACTTTGAATGTAGCTTATATGTATCGTCACCCTTGCAGCTGCAACTTTAGCTATTGACATCTTCTTTCCGGTCACTCCGCATTAAACAATCGCCAGTCAAAGCCAACCGTTGAGATTGGTAAAACCCTACATTACTTTAGCGGTGGGCTGTACCTCAACAACACCTGCTCGTGTATAACGCAATATCAGGGAGCGCAGGTATGTGCCTTGGCGCAAAAATATAGGCGCGCCTACTCAAACATGTCAGATGCTTTGCACTGACCACTTCGCCATTGCTAAGGAGTGGTGAAGCTGGCTAAAAATGCTCAGCGAAACTAAGCGATGGGCGCAGAGGTTCGGGTCGAGCCCTGTCCGGCCTTTCCCGGTGAAAGTAGTCAGTGACCAGCGAGGACCGTTTGACCTTGAACCTCCTGTGCCTATGAGGGCCCCTGTCTAGTGGCGCACTGGGGTTGGCATGGCACACGCGACTGGCCGGAACAGCCACAAATGTGGACAACAATCGCAGGTAGCCCGGGGACCAGGACAATGCGGGCAATGACGCACCACGCGGTACCAGGCCGTGCCGCAAATTCTGCCCCCAAACACCCGATCAGCAGTTGACAGATTCGACAATGCGAGAGGTTCTTTGAGATTGTTTGGAAAGCGTGTCGGAATGCAGCCCGCTCGTACAAAAATCCGATCAGAGTGGAGCTACTTTGGGAGAAACGGCGCATTCGTGTTTACTAAGAAAACAGGTGAACTTAAATGGCATGGAATCGATGAAAGTACATATGCTCTCCCTTCCACGCAAACCCACAAACCACAGAGGATAAAATTGGAACATTTCCCATACGCGGCCACAGATGAAGAGCATGATAAGGACGACGTAACTAAGTGCAACAGTCGTTATTCGACAACCGGAATCATTTATTTAGCCAGGGTAGAGTTCAAATATCAATTTGACTAGCAAGCCAAATATTTAGTTACCGGGCTCCTTATAGTCACACAAGCAAAGGCCAGAACTTCCCGACATAATCAAGCGTCAGCATTAGGATCATCTTACCATTTCACAGAGCATCACGGCCTCCTCCCAGCGGAGGAATTTGCGTCGCTGCTCCTCGTAGCCCATGTACTGCCAGAACTTCCCCGGGACAGCGCTCAGCTCTGCTCTGTCCTCATCCCGGAGCCAGGCGGCCGTCACCAGCTCTGACCTGGGTCAACAGAGGTCAGCACAGGTCAGATGAGGTCACAGGACACACTGACAACTGAACTGGAACTACAGGGGTCGGCACAGGTCAGCAGCAGAGGACACTAGAAGTCAGGGCGGAACATATGTGAAAAAGAAATATTTGTACTTTCTACTTTCTAGACATACCGATAAGCCGATAACGATGCACTATCTAGCGGTCAATGCATGTTAGAAGTACCAAGTCGATGACAGGTGGTCGCTACACCATGATTTCTAGCACACATAGCCTTTCACTGACGCACACTGACAGAACGGATCGGCATTCAGTTTGAGTCATTTGCACGCACCAATTTCCTCACCACGTCAACATATTCAACCGGTGATTGCAGTGATTGTTGTGCAAGCAAGCCTATTATTACATTTGGATCCTCTCTAGTTAGCATCCATGTTTGCTTAGCTGTGTAACTGGTTTTAGCTGGCCCAAAGTCCCGACGCTGTCCCGTGAAATGTCCCCGCAAGGAGCGAAGCAACCGGTTGCATATTTTCGGTGGTACATATGGCACAGGCGTCCAAGCCGGAATTAGGAAAAGTGATTAACTTGTTGATAACGGCGGGCGGTGCCATGTTCTCCTGAATCTTAACGGTGATCATCGCCATCAGGTTACAGTGACTCACGTGGTGTCCAGCTGTCGCGTCGCGGCGGCTCAGTCCCGGCACAGTGGGCTGGATACCGTTCAAATATGGCTAACAGAGCACCATCATTGGTATACTTCATAACGTTTTATCATGCGAATCCGAAGGAAAAGTCGGCGCAAATTTATCCCACCTTAAACTGCAACAAGTACATTCAGCGGTGCCCTTTCTAAAAACGGTTCAGTTTTCCGCTATGGCAGACACAATCTAAATAGGATGCATTACTTTTAAAAAATGCCGCTAGTCATGACCTGACTGGCAGACCGCGGATATGATGCTCATGCAATGGCGGACATGCTCCGCTCATCGTCCCCCCAGCGGTATCCCGTGTCCGGGGGTAGATCCTGGTGGTTGCATGCCCACTAACAGCTCCGCTAGGCGATAACAGCCCTACATGCCACTCGGCGCATTCCGCGAGCATCCGTGTGACGAGTGTGTCCCAGTGTCGACATGGTTCATACACGCGCGCTAATCCACGTCATTTTGCGAAGTCACAATATGGCATGACTGGGAGGACAGGAGGCAACAATACATTGTTCAAACTTATAACTATAGGTTCCAATTTTATAATAAAACGATTTTAAGTATCATGAGTGATAGACGGGTCGCAAAAAGGTCTTCTTTTACAGGCCGCTCCCTGGCCGCTTTGAACAGCATGAGAACTATACCTAGTTAGTAGTTAGCACTTTAGATATGGTGCTCATTCCAAATCGTTATTTTAGGCATTATTCATTTTTCCATTAGTAGCTCAACAGCTGCAGCTCCTGACTCATCAACAAACAATGACAAAAAAATGCTTACATGATAAATCAAATGACTTCAAAAAACGTGAAGAAAGGACCGATGATGCACAAATTGTATCACAGAACTGGCCTAAAGGAAGCATTTCAGAAGATGACAATTTAGTGACAATTAAATCGTTAAAAATATTGGCATGAAACTTAACCAAAGTTTAGGTATCTAATGAAACAAAACCAACTCATCAGTAAAACCCATGAAGGCACCAACACTGGCAGCAGCCCCAAAACAATGTCATTACCAGATATGCAGAGCCTGCCTTCAAACACTAACCGTTTGACGACCAGCGGCTCGGCCAGCAGGCTGAAGAGCTCCTCTGTTCTGGCCCGCTCCTGCTCGGCAGCCAGCCAGCCGTCCTCTGGTGGGGGCGTCTCGCTCCACTTCTCTCCCGACTCTGGCAGGCTGCGGGACCCGCCCTGAGCCATCCGCAGCAGCACCTCTGGGCTGGCGGTGGAGACAGGGATCTCTGTGGTAATCCTGGTCAGTCATAAACAGAGGAGCTGGCTGAAAAATGTGCATCAGATTTAATGGGAGAGTGATGACAAAAGCAATAGCCAATAACTGCAAGTTAATCTCTAGTTGTTAAGTTTTCTCTTTTTTAAGTGTTGAATATGTTGATAATACACACCTTTGCCTTAACTGTTCAAATAACTTCTTAACCCGGCCAGGCCCCGGGGGTTATCCCACCCACCGGAGCCCGGGGGAGGGGTCGTCCCTCGTCTAAATTCGTAAATAAGGGAGTCACGGAAACAAAAGTAGTACCAAACGAAAGGTCCCTACGAGACGATTCTAAACCACTTAAAATGTTTGACCTCAGGTCCATTTTCAAGGTCAGATGTCAAGGTTAAAGGTAAAAGCCGGCAAATGTGTAGCGATCTTAAAGTGCCCATTCTACATAGAGGACAGCGGAATCCATACAACCGACTTAAAATGGGTGTGAAACGAAAGAAGAGAAACAGGGGATTCCCAAAATCCAAAAATGAAAGGTCAAGGTCAAGGTCATGCTCAAAAGTGACCTCAAACTTTTCACTTTTCGAAAATCTTGCGTAATAAATTCTAAGGTGTTTTGAAATGTTTTGAGGCTTATCCGGTACCTATTGGTGCTTCATCTTACGATACCAGGCTGCTCTAAGTTCAAGGTCACGGAAAATTATCCTTTCTAGAGGCTATTTCACTAATTCCAGTTAGTAATAATAATTAAGAAAAAAAATTATCCAGAGGCTCCAAATGAATGTTTCGAGGAAAACAAATGTCATTTTCGTGATCAGCGGCTACGAATCCATCAGAATAGACCTCTTATGTGTCAAGGTCAATCACAGGTCATTCGAGGTCACATGAGGTCAACACAAAACTTGACCTATTCTAAGCAAAATATATATCATTCGACGCGGATTGACGAGGCGAGTGCGTTGGTACCATTTGCGGAGCTTTAAGATTATTTTTTGTTGAAATTAATTGTAAAAAACTAAAACAACAGACTCAGGGTCATTGACCTGACCTCCGACCTCAGTTAGGTCAAACGCTACACAACCATGCTCGAGATTTGTCTTTATCTCAAACTATTTTGGCAGCTATTTGAAGTTCACGTCTGTGACGCCGAAATTTGCCGTGCAGGGGTCTAGCAAAATTGACCCTGTGATGTCATCAAGGGACCTAGGTCTAAAATTTTTGCTTCGGAAGATGCGGAATTGATGGGAGAAAAGGTACTGAAAGTTTCACTTTCCTATTCCTAAGCGTTCGGGAGCTATCGCAAATATTCCCCGGGGGGGAGGGGGCTGGCCAAAACGCCCCCTGGGCCCGCGAGCGTTTATGACTGGAATCAGGCATCAGCTTCTTCATATCAGATTTCACATAAATGGACAAATGGACATAAATGGACATGCCAAAACTCAACATACTTACCACCAAATTCCACTTATATAGGGTTTCCCTGCATTTCCTTACCATTATCATAGCCCATGGCAACATAACACCATTTATCATTTACCATATGCCAGTTATGTAATAGAAGGGTTGAAATTACACCAAAATAGAGCAAAATTTATAAGAAAGGTTGTAGGTGGGTAGGTTGCCCATTAGTAGGATGTAGGCATAGATAAACAGGTTTTAGGTATGTCATAGGTTAGAAGGTTGTAGGTCTGTGGGCACGTTAGGTCAGGTTGGAGTAAGTTTTGGTCCTCAGGAGACTTTATATAAATTTTATCATCACATGAAAATTTGTGGTGTTTTTGTCGCTCTTCTTGAGTTAAAATTCTGCAATGCTTCATAGTTTCTTGTGCAAACATTGAGACAGCATCATTGTGTTAGTGCATGCACATATCAAGGGAGGGATATTAAAGCTTAATTTATCATGACATCAAAAATAATCATCCATTTGAGCAGTTCTGGCATTTGTTCAGAAAAAGGTCTGATCGTCAGTTGTGGCACAGTTGCTACAAATATGCAACAGCAGAAATTGTAGCTTGTAGATTGTGTTTTTAGGGCCTTGGTAGGTTGAAACTTGGTTGGTTGTAGGTTGGTTGGTAGGTTATGGGCTGGTAGGTTGTAGGACATAGAGGTTGTCGGTTGGTAGGGCATAGACTGTAGGTTAGTAGGAAGGTAAGGTTAGGCCAGGTAAGATTTTTTGTATTTGCACCACAAGTAAGGATCATATTTAGATTCAGGATGTCAAATAATCTAGAAATATGCCAAATATATGCTTGAGATTTTTAATTAGCATTTACCTCCTTTTCAATTTAGTTCCCACGTAATCGGTTTGGTATATACTGAAATAGGTAGTCATAAAGCAGGCGTCACACTTGTTTTTTGCAGCCAGGCGCTATGCCTAGAGATGCTTTAAAAGCAAACTAAACCAAACCTGACCAAACTTGACCTAACCTTACCAACAACCTACAACCTATACCCTAAAACCTACGATCTAACATACAGCACCTGTCCTCGGTTTGGTTGCAAAAACAATTGTGATGCCGGCTTTACTGCTACCAAGAAATGGATTCAGAAAGCATAAAATATTCATTTTGATAGGTAAGGGTTTGTATGGTCACCTTGATTTGATTGCTACTATCCTCACCTTGCGATGACGTCTTCATCCATTTCAATTTTAGATATTTAACACCTGAATGTTTTGACTCAATGACTCACTGGCCACGGCATAATCACTTTTCAGTCCAAATTTATTCAGATTATTGCTTCTGATGATGTTAGGAAAAGCCCACACAATGTGCCCGTAGATGACTATATCAGTTAGAATTATTTTTCATATGAATCATTAATTATTTGATAATTATTTGAAAATGAAGAAAAATGAAATCACCACGCGGCTACACTCTGCAATGTTTGTATGGATTTGCACATTTAGGATACTATTGTTCTACTATTCTAAATGGAAGCAAATGATTTCAAGTTGCCAGGCAACCGTGAGGAAATCGCCAGCCAAACAAAAATACTGGCTAATGATTGGTCTATTTTTGCTCGTTCGACTTATTTACAAGCTAAAGAACAAGAATACTTTGTCAGCAAATGTCTCATATGAACTGTTTATGTAGCAGTTCTAGAAGATTTTCAAATAAAGGTAAGCATTCAAACATTTCAGTTTTTAAAGTATTCCGTGAACAGTGAGACATGAGACAATTTTTTCATCAAATGTTACTGTGGTCTGTGCATATGATTAAGGCGATAGCCGATAAAGGCATGTTTATTGCGCAGAGTCATCAGCCCCTTCCATCGCTGCGCTGCTCCCGCGGCAGTGCCCGTTCCTCAATCTTCCGTGGCACTGCCCCCCCATATCTAGGTAACCGAGAGCTCGCACCTGTATCCCTGACCCGGTACGTACCCCGACCCCAGTAACCCTACCTGGAGGCCCCGTCACGGTACCGGCTACCGCTGCCCCGGTACCCCGGTCGGCGGTCTCCTATGTCCGGTCTTCCGGGTCCCTGTAAGTAGTACCAACCCCTACCCACCTACCCCTGTCCCACTCCCGGTAGCCTTGCCTCGTAACTCGTAACAGGTCTGTCCCCTGCTTCAGTACGTACACCTGCCTTAGTCAGCACCTGTCCTGGTGCTCCTGCCCCTCAAACGGTACCTCTGCACTTTAACCCACCCTTTGCCCTCGCATCCGCCCGCAGTGTCCTTGCCTTTATACCTCTCCCAGCCCGTCCGGTGGCTCAGTCGGTAGAGCGTTGGACGCGTGGCGAGAGCACGCGTCCCGGCATAGTTCGAAGCGCGACGGACGCTCGATGTTTATGAGCCTCCTTGTGGGTATGGTTGCGGTTGGTGACAGGCCGTATCCAGCCGAAGTCAGTCATGGGGGAACGGTGAACCGGCCGTGCGCGGCTATGTGCGTACTGCAGTACGCACATAAGCATGATTAACGTTAAACTTCGAACTCTTAATTCTGCCATAGACCAGGAATTGCACGATTTGGAGGGTATACGGCGGGGCTAACGCACAAGCTTTGCCTAGTGGGGGCACTGCCCTTGTGAATCCTCTATTCAAAAGGCTCGCACTAAATTAAAAAAGTAGGTAAGTACCAAAGCTTGGTACCCTTCACGTTGACCTGGTACTGCAGGTGTCCCAGTGATTGCAGCTCTCTGGGCTGGCGCCCTATATGCCAATGATGCCTTGTCGGTCCCCTGCCCGGGTACATACTTGCCCAATGCCCTGTCTGGTGTTCAGCGCCTTGATGTCCCTCGCATCTGGTGTCCTCCCTCATGCTCCTGCCGATGTCTCGGCACCCATTACAAGCTTATCTGATATAACAGGTGCCTCCTGCTTCTGCCTCGATGACCGACCGGCGACCGGTGTCATGCCCTTGACCGGTGTCTCCTGCACCTCGGTGTCCGGTGACGGTGTCTGGTGACCTGTGCCTCCATCTCTGGTCAGTGTCCAGTCATGTCTTTATGTTGTGTGCATGTCATCGTATCGCTCCATCGGCATTCAACGTCCCATGTGACCAGTGGTTTCCGCATGCGATAGGATGAGCGATAAACGATTAACGATAATTATCGCTGTTAAGTACCTAAATCGGTTATCGTTATCGTTTATTGCTAAATTTTCAAAATTATCGCTCATCCACTTATCGCAAGTTACAAAAATTATGAACGATAAACGATGAAATGTAAAACGGGATGGTGGAAAAATGGAAGACAATCGACAGTGTATGCCGCGCGACAGTATGTGTGCGCAACCTGTTGCCATCTGCTAAGTGTATAGATCTGCAAATAAACTTTAAGTACACTTATTTAAGCTGTATTTCTTATCGCTTTTGTTGTCGCTGTTCAAGACAATTATCGTTATCGTTGAATCGTTTATCGTTTCGTTACCGCTGTTAAAAACAGATACCGTTATCGTTTTATCGTTTCGTTATCGCTGTTAAATAAACAATTATCTTTATCGTTTCATCGTTTCATCGCTATCACTGTTAATTTTTATATTTTTATCGTTTATCGTTTATCGTTATCACAAACCTGTCTTATCGTTTTATCGTTATCGCAGGTCCGAAAATTAGTTATCGCGGAAAGCACTGCATGTGACGTTGTCCCACGTCCCTATGTCTGCCCGTATAGGCAACTAATTAAAAATAATTTAGTGCGGCAAATTCGTCGGCCCTCTATTACGTTAAAACTACCCACTGCCTTCACTTTTTTAGCTTTCCAGCCCCTCGCCTATCAGTCAAATAATGACATGTGATGGGTTTCCAAGTCCCAACGAAAAGTCACCTATAACCGCTTAGAAAAAAAATCACTTCATACCTACCTATCTTTTCATTCGTGGTTTCCACCGACCTATCTGTATTCACAGATGGCTCATACAGCATTGTGCGCATCGTGCACCCTTCTGTCATGACCGGTCGAAGTAAAACCGATACATGTCAGGCATCAGTCCCACGGACACCTCGGGCGGCGTGCCGCGATAGCCGTGTGTCGAGCAGGAAAACAGCGCCGTCCGCCGCTCCCGACCAGGAAAGTTCCCGGTCGCTGCCAGTGGATCCTAGGAGCTCCTCGAGCGGTGCGGTGGGTCCATCCCAGGGCTGCAGCCACCTGCAGTTAATTCGTTGGGTAGCCGCACAGCACAGATCCCGTTGCTATCTGGGTCCCTCGGATCAATCAATGAATCACCGTTGTTGCGGTGATCAAACTTGACATTTAAAATTTAAAGCTTTTTGGTGAATGTGCTTATGTATAGTCTCTCTTCAAAGCACCACAACACGGGGAAAAGAAGTATTGGTGAACCAACCAACGGTTAAAATCGGTTCGGCCTTCTCTCCCCTTCGCCACCCCGATATCCTCATCTATTATATCGTCAATGTAAAGTGGCTCGGTGACTCAAATTTAGCAGCCTTCTCTCGGTCGGCTTGATGGCACAAGTGTACAGTGTACTTAGAACTTAAGGCCTGGCTACACTATGCGTTTTCTGCGTGCGTTTTTGCAGGTTTGCGTGTTTTGCGTAATATCGTTCTAGGAAAAAAGTTATAAACAATATAATTTTTTCTTTGGTTATATACAAAAGCTAATATAACTCTTATGTAACTAAAATTTAAGGTGAAAAACATCACAAAAACGTAATATCGTTCTCTTTTCTAGAACGATATCACGCAAAACACGCAAACACGCAAAAAACGCACGAAGAAAACGCATAGTGTAGCCAGCGCCTTTACACTGTATGTGTTATGTGTAACCAATAGACCATGCTTATTGCTTATATAATGTTGATCGTCTTTTGAGATGTACGGGGTGTCCCAAGAAAAGTTTACCCAGAAAATTCCTTCGAATTTTTTGTTTTTAATCCGACCATTATAAAAATTGGCATTTTTCATAGCCAAAAACACGGCAAACACGAAAAACATAAGAATTATCATTCAGGATATAAAATATCTTTGGGAAAACGTTTTGTATTAACACATTTAATTTCGACACATCCCGCAGACGTTAACGTCTGTGTTTCAAACCAGGACTCAATCATCATCGAACTGATAATGATAGGTATGGTTCACATTAAACAAGTAGGTACTAAAAAAAATAATGACAAGAATGATGCCTGCAGGGCTGAACTGAGTCGCACACTACTAAAAAATGTCACCAACAAGGTCTCCCCATGGGAGGCTCGTCGGCCTAAGGGCAAATGCCGACTTAACGCCTTGCTGAGGCTCTGAGGCCTCAGAGCCTCAGTCCATGCTATTTCTTCACAAAAAAACGGTCCAAGCAAGATCAAAAGTATCCGTCTAGCCCTAACCTAAAGCCAGTACCTACAAACAGAAAAAGGGAAAATAAAAGTGAGGGCCATATTGCATAATAACATTTGGTGTGTCTTAGCAAAACGAATATTTTTAGAAAATTTCATTCACAGGACATATTTTACATTTGACTCCTTTGAGTTCATGTTCGGCAGTTCAGACCACACTCCGTCTAAAAAGATCTGAACAGAATGGGTAGTCTCTCGAGCGGGGTTTCTGAAGATTTGCTGAAAGAGCGTCTTTGGCTGCCGTGCCTATTTTAGTGGGTCGACTAGTCGTCTGTGCAGTTCCGCAGGCGTGCCATGCGTTCAGTTGTGTGTGAGGAGTCGAGGGCTGACTGTTCAGCGGAGCCTGTCGCCTATCTCGACTTGAGGGTAGGCTGTACCGCAACACGCGGGAGCGCTGCGGCACAGTCCGGCATCTCAGTCAGATGATACTCGGCTCTCTGCGACCGCAAGACCGTTCCATTCCAGGCTCTGCGAGTCCTATAGTTAAAGGGACCCTCCCACCTTCAAAAAAGTTAATGAATTGGCATGAAAGTGATGTCGCTCGGTTCAGAAAGAGCAAAAATGAATATCTACCAAATTTCATCGAAAAATATTCACCGGTTTTCAAGATATTAGACTTTTACTTTTGTTTACTTTTTGGGATCTCCGCTGTTCCTAGCGACTTTATTTGAAAGTGCGGCATTTGTTGCGCGCAAAGCAGCATATACCACCGCGTGCTGCCAAACGTTTTAGTAAAAGATTTAAAAATCGTTAGATCTCCGCTGACGTCACAAATTCTAAGGGGGCATACCAATGCATTAGCCCCTTAGAATCCGAAAACTGCAAGTTTGAAATTCCATATCTCCGAATTAAAGCATTTTTCGATGTTGTGAATGCCCAAACCGGTATTTTCAGGCCATGGCCACCAATTTGGCTATCTCAACTCAAAACTAATGTTAAGGTGGGAGGGTCCCTTTAATTGGTTATTTTTCACTTATGGTGGGTAATTGAACGAGAGTACCTATTGCTTGAAAGGCTGGGAAATGATGAAGTTTCCTTGTGCCTAACTTCGATAATAACCAGCGCCTAGATTCACCAACGTTTTTGATGGTTAGCTAAATTTTATTTGCATTTTTAGCATATGTACAGGGAGCGGTCATGTTTACCTAGGCGTGTCATCTTAGAAAAACAATGTTTTATGTCGTTGCAAAACGACTTCTGCTTCTTAAGGCATGGCTAGTTATTAGATAACGCATGAGCAGAACTGTTTGCAACAACCAACAACGTGGGCTCATTAGTCGCTAGGCGCAGCATTCACCTCGGAAGCATCGGACAGAAGTTTATTTTTCCTCCTATTTCAGACGCCCTAGTCTACTTGCCCAATGCCCCATGTGTCCATATGCTAGTTCAGCCTAACCTATAACTGCAAGTGCGTCCTAACTCCTACGGAATCGTCGTGTGTATCTGTTTTTGCGTATATGGCCTCCCTGTTTGTCACCGAATGAGAACTACCAAAAAAGCACTTAGATTTAAAATATATTCGTGAAAACATATTCATGAGCACAATTACATGCATACAAATGACGACCATCAGCCGTATGGCATCCCGCATACTATTTTAAATATAGCTTCAACAGAAGAGACACACATCCTCAGTGATGCAAAATAGGCGGATACACGATGTTGTCAGGGATGCGGCACTCGTGGGCCGAGCTGGAGCGGACCCGTGTCGGCGGGGTGTGGGTACAAATTTACAAGACATTGCCGTCTGACGCGGCTGCGCACAGGGCGCCGACTACCAGACGACTCACAACAGAGTCACGGGGCGGTGCCTCCCCTCGCGGCGCGGCACCATCAACCGTGGTAGTAGGAGTGACTCCTCAGGCCGGACAGCGCCCTCCACAGGGAGCCGTGAGAGGGCGTTCGCGTGTAGTGGGGGTACTGCGCCGGCGCCGCGGCTGCTGGCGGCGGGACGGGCGCCGACGTCGCGACGGGCGACGGCGTCGCGACGGGCGCCGGCGTCGTTTTAACGGTCTTCCGGACGCTGGCCTCTGTGGAGTAGTAGACGACCTCTGCGGGGACGTCTTCCGTCGTCGTATCTGCTGAGGAGGACTTCCTGGACTTGGAGTTCTTAGACGAAGATTCTGAGACGGGCTCGGCTTCAACAACAAAGGGTTCAGGCTCGGTTGTTTTAGCTCCAGTCTCATGCTGGAGCTCGGACTGAAAGTTCTGCCCGTCCTTTTGCGATGATTCGGTGGTGGGCTCTGGCTCACCTCTTCTGCTGCTTTTTGATTTTCTTTTGGGCGCCGCCTCGGTCGTTGTCTCTTGCTTAGGCTCAGGCTCTGGCTCTGGCTCTGGCTCCGGTTCAGGCTCTGGCTCAGGTGTGTTGGTCCTCCTATTCTTCTTTCGTTTTCTCGAGGACCATTCCGTGCTGGGCTCCGTGGTAGGTTCGGTCGTCGGCTCGGGTTCGGGCTCTGTCGACTGCTCAGGTGCTGCCTCAGTTGTCGCCGGCTCAGACCTGGACTTATTCTTCCTCTTCTTTGACTTTCCGGTCGTGGTTTCCGGCTCTGGCTCAGTCGTCGGCTCTGGCTCAGGCTGGGGCTCGGTAGTCGGCTCTGCTTCGGTGGTGGTCTCTACCTTGTTTTTGCGGCGTCTGGGCTCAGGCCTGTTTGAAGATGCGCTCGGACCACTGGGATCTGACGTGCTACTTTCGCTTTGGATGGACTCTTCGGTGGAAGCGCTGCTTTTGCTTGCTTTGCCTTCTTTAGTAGTTTTCGATTGATTTTCACCTGCCTTAGATGCATCAGACTGGGTAGCTTCAGCTGGTTCTTGCACTTCAATCACAACGGGTTCATAGTCGTAAGCACTTGGAGGAGGTCGTGCGATAACTTGGAAGCCGTATCCGGGGTAGAACACTCGTGCGTCGTTTTTCAGATTGAAAAGCTGCCTCCAGAGATGTGAGTGCATTTCGCGGAAAGCCTGAACTTCAGGACGTCGCTGCACTGGCGTCGTGCTCTTTGATTCAGCTTTGCTGACCTCGAACAGAGGTAGTATCCCTTCTTGGACATGGTCCTTGGAACTTTCAGTTTGGCTGGCATCAGCACTTACATTTTCAGGCGTGGTTGTGTCGGTCTTAGTAGTTTCTTGTGTTCCAATACTGATTTCCTCGGCTATTGGCTTTTGATCCTGCTTTCCAGCATTTGGTGTTTCGACGGCCGCTTCGACAATTACGGGAGGAATCGTTGGTGCAGCAGTAGTGAACTCAGTGATCAGAGGAAAATGTTCAGATAGGGCACTCTGTCCCACATCAGCAGGCAAATATCCAGCGATGGGCTTCGGCCTCTCTTCAAGTGGACGATCACCTGCGATAGGTTTCGGTCTTGCAGCAAAGTGGGGAGGTGCTTGGACTAGCTCTTGGCTGGGGACAACCCGTCCATCACTGGAGGCTTCCGTCTGCTCCAATGATACTCCCGCAGCACCCAGCCGACGAGTTGCCAGAGACGGTTTCAGTATTTCCGCGGCAGTTAGTTGGCCATGAGCATGTCCTGAAATACTGTGAGATAGACTAGCAGGAGTTTGGCCAGTGGCGAACACAGAAGTTAGAGGGTCAGGCGCGGGCGTCGACTGTTCGACTGCTGAAGTCGTGTCCCCCTGTCTCTCTTTTGCTGCCTCAACCAGATCAAACACACTTCTCAATAAGAGTTCATGAGCTCTTTTAGCGGCAACTACTTCGGGAAGGTTGCGAATGTTGTCAGGCAGTTGTTTGAAAATGTCGCTGATGCCGAAGTCTTTCGCAGCCTTCATGAAGGCCATGTCTTGCGATGAAAGTCCAGCAAGCTGGGCTGCCATATTGGGTTGGCTGATATGGGTAACAGCTTGTTGAGGTTGTTGGAAGCTATTGGGCAGATCGCGGTGTGGTGGCTGAAGAGTTTGATGAAGTGGTTGAATCAGTTGACCTTGATGCTGTTGGGTTTGCTGATAGAAATCAGCTGTTCCTTGAGTAGACTGACTGGGCTCCTGAGGCGGAAGGAAAGGTTGCTCTGGGCGCTGGAAAGGAGTATGTGTAAGAGCATCATGAGGACCTTGAATGTCTTGCTGACGAGGTTGAGATGGCAGGAATTGTTGTTGGGACTGTTTGTCAGTGCGCGAGTCAAGTTGTTGTTCAAAGCCAAAAGTCTGCTCAGTGTTCTTGAAGGGGTTAAAAGTGCTCGGTAGCTGAACCTTACGCTCATTAAAGACAGACCCCAGTGCAAACGGAACGTCCTGGAGATCTGCCGGCAGATTAAGGTATGCTTGATCAGCCTCAGATAATCCAGCCTGAGAGGTTGGCTCCCCTATCGCAAGAACATCTTCACCCTGAAGCTCTGCCGCCTTGTCGGAAAGGCCAGCAGCACTGAGAAGCTCAAGAAGAGAGAAGCCTGGTTTCTGGGATAGCTGTTCTTGATGCTGCTGAAGAGGTGGTACGTCAGACGATACCGACTGTTCCAGGGTCGGTGGCTGCGTTGTAGTTGGCGGCTCCATGGCCTTTTTCATGGTGGCTTTCATGGTGGCCTCATATACGTTCTTTGCTCGGATGAGCTCCGCAGCAGCGAGGTCCTGAGCTCGCTTTCCAGCAGGACCCGCCACTTTAAGAGAATCTTCATACGCGGCATGCGCTTGAGCTAGCTCAGCAACAGCCTTCGCATGAGCCAGCTCGGCGTCGTCTATCTGGCTGCCGGAAACTTCCTGACCTGTGAGTGCGTTTGGCTGTGATACATCTTCAGCACCGCCAACGGTGGAGAGAGACAGCGTGTCCTGGGTAGCCGGTGCCACTGGCTGCGACACTGCTGCATGCTGTTCTGAAATAACATCGGCTGCAGGCTGCTCTTGCACCACGTCCTCTATGGGCTGCTCGACAGGCGCCTTGAACGCTGGGAGCTGGATTTGAATGGGTTCTGTGCCTGAAAGGGTGGCCTCAAACGCAGCTCTTGCCTTATTCAATTCGGCAAGGGTCAGTTCCTGTACTCGTGCACCTCCAGGACCCGGCACCTTCAGAGATGCTTGGTAGGCTGCATGTGCTTGAGCTAATTCAGCCAAAGCCTGCGTCTGCTCAATGCTAATCTGGCCGTCAGCAATATGGGTCATCGCCTGCTGAACGGTTTTCGAAGAAACATCAGATCCTCCTTGTCCAATGACAGATTGAGGAAGTGTTTGACTTTGTGGAACATCCAAGGTTGCTCCAGCAGCAGTCTGCAACTCCACCGAGGACGTTCCAGGGGTAGACTGCGCTTCCACTGGCGTCCCTTCTGCCTGAATTCTTTGACTTTGACGTGCTTCGTCAGCAGCCTTCAGTGCAGCTTCATATGCCGCTTGTGCACGAGTTAACTCAGCCAGGGCAAGAGATCTGACTCGCTCACCGGACGGGCCAGTTATCTTCAGTGCGTCTTGATAAGCTGCATGGGCCTTTGCCAGTTCAGCCACGGCACTGGCCTGACGTTGATCCTTTGCTGCTGAAACGGCCAGAGAGGCTACGTAGGCAGCCTCATCCTCTGTGGGCTGTGAGTCGCTGCTGACTTCGGACAGAGCGGATGGTTCGGCATCCTTCGTTACCGCCCCACTGGGCACACCAGGGAGTGCGCCTTCGATGGAAGCAGCGGGTAAGTCCAGCTCCTCTGTCGCTTGAGGTCCCGTTTGAGACAAGGTGGCTGTGGATCCCAAAGAAGCTGGAACGGGAGCCTGTGATTGAGGTGTGGAAAGGCCTTCCGGGGCATCAATTGACTCAGGAGCTTTCTCTACGGGTTCTCCGGATGTTTCCAAGATGGCCTCAAAGGCAGCCTTAGCCCGGAGCAGTTCAGCCTTAGTCAAAGCCATAACTCGCTGTCCTTCAAAACCAGTTGCTGTCATGGCAGCCTCATAAGCTGTTTGAGCCTGAATTAAGTCAGCTGCAGCCTTCGCTTGTTCTTTGTTCTTGGGAGCTCCTGTTGCCGAGAAAGATGCCGCGAAGGCAGCTTGAGCCCTGGCGAGCTGTGCCTCGCTTAGAAGCGGACTCTCTTCAGGGGCATCTGTTGGTGCCGGAGCTGTTGGGGCAGCCAAAGCTGCTTCATATGCTTCTTGCGCTTTTGTCAATTCTTCAAGAGCCAGTTCTTGAATTTGTTTTCCTGCAGCTCCTGAGGCCTTCAATGATTCCTTATAAGCAGCATGGGCCTGAGCCAGCTTGGCAACAGCCTGTATTTGTGCGAATTCGGCTTCAGCCGACAAGCCACCGCCTTCTTTCTGCGATTCGGGTTTCGGTACAGCCTGTTGGTCCCCGGGAACAGTTGGAAGAGGAGCCGGTGCGACAGCCGGTGTAGGTGGCTGCTCGCTTGGACTTGGTGAAGGAGCTGTAGTGGGCTCTGGTGCTGGTGGAGAAACTTCTTCACTAGCCAGCTTTGCGGCAGCTTCATAGGCCTCTTGTGCTTTTGTAAGATCGGCCAAGGCCAGAGCTTGTATTCTTTCGCCCGCTGGACCAGGAACTTTGCGCGCTGCCTCGAAAGCAGCATATGCTTGGTTAAGCTCAGCCTCTGCCTGTGCTTTCGCCAGCTCAGCGTGACTCGGCCGGGAAATGACTGGCTCAGGAATGGTCGGCTGTTGTGCCTTCGTGGCTGGGAACTGATCTGGTAGGCTTGTGTGCTGAGAGGGCTCGGGAGTTGGAAGAAGTGGGTTGGTATTGAGACTGATCGCGGAACCAAGCGAAGATTCCGTCGGGGCAGGTGCTGCTTGGCTATTGACTGGACTGGGACTGTCACTACCAGTGACAAGTGCAGCGTTCTGCGTCTGTTCTTGGTTACCTTGGCTTAGAAATGCGGCATAGGCGGCTTGTACGGCTTCCAGTCCTTTTACGCCCTCTAAGTCTGCTAGAGACAAATCTGATCCAGACGACCCTAGGAATGCCTCGAAAGCAGCTTGGGCAGCATGGGCAGCCTCAGATACCTCGGGATCTGCAGAAGCAGGCTCTTCAACAGCTACAACAGCAGGCTCTTCAACGATCACAGCAACGGGCTTTTCTACTGCTACCACGGCGGGCTCCTCAACAGCTGCAGGGGAACCCATTGAGGCGAGGGCAGCCTGCATCGCTAGCACGCGCTCGATTTCGCCCCTTGTGGACTCCGAAGCGGTAGACAAGTCCAGGACGATGCCGGTGGACTCGCCTGACGTCTCCGGTGCCGCGGCCTCGGGTGCCGCCGACTCTGGTCCGCCGGCAGTGATCCCCAGCGACTCTGCGTACGCGGCCAGGGCCTCCTGAGCGCGCTGGATGTCCTCAGCCGTCGGGTTATCGACTTCGAACAAACTGAAAGGGGGCAGGCTGAGCTCGGATGGCGATGAGGCAGCGGCGGGGGCGGCTGGCGCCTCACTGGTGGTCGGGGGACTGGGGGTGGTTGCACTGACGAGGTTACCAGCTCCGGCTCCGATGGCCCTGGTGCGGTGCTGAGAGCCCTCGGCGGTCGCTCGCTGCAGCTGCGCGAGATAATCAGCCTCGAACTGAGCATACACGCTGGGGTCGGCAGTGTAGGCAAGCGGCTCCTCGATACCCGAAAACCCAGCCTGCAGGCCAGGCACCGCAGCGCCAAGGCCGGCGAAGAAGCTCGGGTCGAAGGGCCCAGTAAAGTCCTGTCCTTGCGCTTCAGGCTTAGGAGCAGCCGTCGTAGTAGTCGTCGTTGTCGTTGCAGTAGTAGTGGTTGGTTCTTGAATGGCGAACTCTGTCAGACCGGGAGCTTCGGCTGCGAAGAACTGAGCCAGCGCAGAATCCGAGAATCCATTATTGGCGGCCCAGGTCCAGATGTCTTCAGCCCCACCTGCAGCGGCCTCGGCTTCTGCGGCGAGAACGTCGGTGCCATCGAGCGCCCCCGAGGCTGCGGCTTCAGCCTTCGAACCCTTCAGCGTGGGGAACGTCGGCTTCTTCTTCTTCAGTGGCTTTGGTGCGAAGGCGCCGATTTTGGTGGCAGCGGCGGCCACACTGCCGGGGTTGTTGAGGGCGTCGAGCTGCGCGAAGGTGAGGTCCGCCGCCTCCTGGGCGGCCTGCGGCAGCTGCGGAGCCGTCAGCGACGGCGGCGTGGGATTGCTCGACCAGGGCCAGTAGAGCACCGTGGAGGTGCCCGGCCCGGCCGCTGGGTTCGGCGCATTGAACTGGCTGAGGTCGAAGTAGGTAGAGGGGCTGAAGGGCAGGAACGGGTTGGCCAGCGGAGAAGTGGCCGGCTGCTGCTGTTGCTGCTGCTGTTGCTGTGGCTGCTGCTGCTGCTGACCAGGAAACCTGAACGGCACCGCCCGCGCGGTGGCTAGCAGGCACAAGGCCACCTGTAAAAGGCAGAAACAAGTGTCAAGTGCCTCTGTTTTCCTCTGATCAATAAACGAGTGCGGCATCATGCCTCTGACTGGCCCTTCCCACTGCTATTGTTCCAGGCCTTATGAAGACCGTTAAAGGAAAACACTTTAAATGATTCCATAATGGGTGAAAACCATCACATTATTGTACCTACGATAGCCTAAATAAGTACACAAAACTTGATGTGTTTCCCCACCGGTCTATAGGCGAATGCATAGTTTCCTTAAATTCAATCGTTGCTCATTCTTCCTATTCATGAAATGTCTTAAATAATTGACAATGATAAAAAATAAGATAAAATAGATAGTGCACGCATTCCTACCGACGAATGCGTCTTATTACATAAAGCGTCGAGTGATCGCCTGATCCACTAGGCGCTGTACGGAAACAGTGCGATCGATTCCCGAGCCGTCTATGTGCAGTCGCGTGTCACCAGGAGGGTGCCCGTTCACCTTGGTTTGCCCGCCGATACCATCTGTCGGCGGGGCCGGCCGCCGCCGCTGCCGTCCGAGCCGGATTCTCACCGACAGCCTGGCCAAAACAAATAGTTCCCGGCGGCCGAACGAAAAATACCACAAAGCTTTTGGTCCATTTTTTGGATCGACTGTGGCGGACAGAGCCAGCCTGCCTTATGGCGCCGTCCGGTGTAGCGTGACACGGCTCCTATTGTCGGCCGCATTTTGAGTCCATCTTTCCTCGTCGGTCGGTCGGCCAGCCCGTTCCCGGACCCTGGCGGCCACCGGCGGGTTGTGTCGGACCGGCCGCACCGCCGCCACCGAGCCTCATCACCAGGAAGGTGAGATCACCAGGAATATGCACCACTGACGGCCTTGCTACGCATCAATGGCACTCGGCGTGCGGTCAATTCGGTACAATCCCGGAAATTTGCAGGGTAATTAGCATAGTACGCACGCAATGCCACATATGGTCAATTGTAAATGGCTGGCCATGGCCCGGGTGACCTTCGTCAATCAAGCTAGAGTCTTGGTATTTTCCTAAAGTACGTAAAATAAAGACTTCAATGCGTTAATTATTCGATGTATGTGGCTTCAATTTAGCAAAATGTACAACCCGACGGCTCAAACTTAAATATAATGTTATATGTTATGTCATTTTTATGTTTTCCATGCTAGTTATATAAAGGTCAATTACACTAGAAAAGCGTCTGAATAAACGAGCAAGCTGAACATTTTCATCTTTCGTAATCAAGATTTGTATGATCTTTTATATCTCTCATCCTGAAAACAAGTGATAAAAACTCAAGCTTACAATATTGTTGACTAACCAAAGCTTTCACTCAAAACAGTTCTTACTTTGCTAGTCTACAGTCCTCTGGGCATGGGCAAGAAATATTTTCGAATAGACGGGCCAATTTGGAGAGTGGTGCTTAATGTGCTCAAGCATTGCAAACGGTGGCCCATTAAGCCAGAGTTGTACAGTCTGCCACCGAACATCCTCGTAGATCATTTTCGTCAGGAGAAAGCAGCGAGGGCAGAAACGGCTCAAATGGAAACTTCGCCACCGTTCGCCACACGCTTCCTACTAAGCTGCATAATGAGTGATTCACATTAAAGTAGCCCTTTTGTCTTCTATTTCTCTGACGTAACGAACACAGACGGAAACATCAGTAGCTCACAATTGTGTTAGGTTATTTCCTCGTTTCTTCTCTCCGTTAACATATTTTTTAGCATTTGCTTTCCTTGTATTTACAAGACTTCATTGCACAACAGGGCACAAACAATATAAACCATGAGTTGTTAACAGTGATCCAATTTTATACAATAAGGTGTGGTTCTTCAAGGATGGAAAATCAGAAAAAAGGTGATTGATTGATGGTTAGAACCGTTCCCACGGATAAAGCCTTCCGTTCGCGTTAGCTCAACAAATGTCGCAATCAGTGAATATCTAACAGACAACTGTTAACGACACTACGCAGGCCAGGTGCCGTCTGCGTGGCGCCGGGCGACCATCATGGAATAGGTAAACTTCGATTGTGAATATGGCCACAAAAATAAGCTGGCACCCGTGACTCCTACCCCTACACTTAACCCGTGATTCTGTATACGGCCACTGCTGGTTGACCATAAATTTTAATTTGGATGATTTGGAACATCTTTAAAATTCATTGAGCATAGGTCAATGAATTTTGTGTAACGAGTTCAAATGAAATGCAGACAAATCAGTGACGAAACAAAACTTGGATTAATTTGCAAGAAACCACTATCCTTATTCTTTTTCAATTCTACCCAATCGAATATCTATGGCGACAACAAGCAAAAAGCAGGTGGGATTTTTTTTTTTTGCTTTAAGTAAAACCATTATACCTCCAGTCCAGATGTTTATAAAAATATCACTTACTGAGAATCCAACAATACGCTAAAGCAAGTTTATGTTCGTATTTTTCTTACCAAAATGACCGATTCTCACATTTGCTTACACATTAGGGAGTCAATCAAATAAACTGGAACTGCAATATTCGCTTTCTGAGATCTGCTTATTTCTGATAACTGCCTCAGACATGAATATTTAACATTAATTAGAGCATATATTCATGGAACTAAACATGAAACTTGTATGAAAAAGACATACGTATTACACAGCAGTAATGTAAAAATACGTTAATCTAATTGAAGTTCAAGTAATATCGGCAAAAGTAGTAGGTACCTAATTAAATGCAAGCATTGCTAATTTTCAAAAATGAGAACAAATATTAAAGTGAACTTTTGCGATATTCGATGATATTCGCACTGACATTTCTTTTCATACGAAAATTAGAGAGGTAATGATATTAAAATGCCTCGTTTGATCCATTCTCTTTACTGAGATTTCATTTTGTATTGCTGATTGGTATGTTTTTTTATTCATGCATCTAATTTGATGCAATCAGCGAATTATTGTCTGCTAAATCAAAATCACATAGACGTCCATACATATAGCATAGCATAGCAAGCCTCCAACGGCTCCACTAGCTTCGCATGGCTTTCCCACGCCATCGCTCAGTATCTGGCCTTTCTGGATGCGCCTCTGGCGTGTGCCGCTCTCCGGGAGCGGTGATTGGTCATCTGCCGCCACTCTGGGACGCTGATTGGTCACATCCGGTCACGTGCCGCCTCTCCGCGCTGTCACACACACTGCACACGGTCTCCGAGGTGCCACGGGGTTCGCGCGCGCGCGGCACTTACCGCCAGTCGCATGGTGGCTGAGGATGGCGAACTGACTGCGGCGTCGGCCGACCGGGCCGTCTATATATGGCCTCGGTAGCGTGCCGCGACACCCGCGAATCCTCCGGCCGTCACTGGGCTGATGGCCCCCGATAGCCAGTGGCGACTCCAGAGCCAGGAAAACGGACAGACGGAGCACTCCCGGATCAGACCGAGGTCCTCGCGCGCTCCGTCCTTCCCCACAGAGAGAATATCGTCCAGCGCGAACTCTTCAGCCAGCCCATCTTCTTCTCTGGCCGAAGCGCGCTGGTCAGCTGATATGGTCACAGAGTCGAGAGCGTCACACCCCTGTTGCAGGTCCGCGCGGTACCGGAGGCGCCCTGGGAGCGTCCTGGTCCGCCCGGTGTCCGGTTTTCCTCCTGTCCACCCCTGCACGTCCTGACTGGGCAGTGTCGACGTGGTTTGGTCAGGGCGACCGACACCCACACTAACTGATACTGGACACACTATCAGGGCTTCATGAAAGGGAGGCAGCTGAAACACAGTTCAGTCGATTAAAACTGCACCCGACCAGTCGCACCGTAGCACCCAACTCAACTGATCAGCCACAGAAAGAGTAAACGCAACCGACCAGCACCGCAGGGGCAAACTCAACCGACCATCCACAGAGGGAAGTAAGTTAACTGATCAACCCCAGGAGGAGACGACTGAACTGGCCACGGTACCAGTCTCTAAAGGATCCAACTCAAAAGATCAACCCCCAAAGAAAATTATATTATTCGGCCCAGGAAGAAAACCCACCCAACCGAATCACCAGGAGGCAACTCAAACGACCAACCACAAAGAGAGCAAAGTCTCCCGACCAGCCAGAGACGAAGCAAACTCAACCGACCTGTTACATAACGAGTAAGCTCGGGCGATTAATTCCAAAAGGATCCAACTAAAAAGACCAGGCCGCTGGCTAACTCAGTTCGAAACCTCAGTTCAGAGCACACCGCTCTCATCCACACTGTTCTATTGCTCAGTATCCTTCGTTGTTACATGCTGTCCTTAGGACAGAAGTTTTAATGCTAGGAGCGCTGTAACTTATAGTATATCAGAACATAACGAATTAGTGCTAACAGATATCACGCTTAGTTCCCTTTCATGCATACCGTTCTGATGCTAAGTGCTTTTATACAGAGTTATCAGCAAAGACGCGCGCGGCTCATCAGGCAGAAGATATCTATCATCATGCCACTTTATGCGTTACCTCTGCCACTCTGTGTACGAAAGAACTCTTACTTCGCAGAGGTAGGCCTTTCTTTCTTGCTGAAACAGTCGATGTTATAAAAGAAGCTTTTTGCCGCTCCAGAGGGAAATCGCCAATCGTTAGCAAAAGATAAATCGCTTCTTTCAACCAAACCAATCAATACTTCTTTACAAGTTTTGCTGCAAATGTATCAAACACTTTTTGTGTCGCCGTATGTTTATTACTTTGTTTATATGAAAATTGCATTTTATTTAGATCAAAGTCATTTCAGAGTAAAGTTTCGTTCATTTTATGAAAAGGTAACTGGAAGATGACCACCTTGCCTGTGCCATGTCTAGTTAGCTCTTCAACGGCACCACATGTCTTTAGGGACGGTGCCCGTTTTCAGTCGCGACCTTCCTTTGCACGGTGTACAGGCCCACGTTAGCAATAAGCAAGTGGTGAGGCTGGTGACAACCACCGACATCTGTGAGACTGTCCGGGCTGGGTGATCCTGTGATGTTAACCGATACTCAGCAGTCGCCGGTGAGACTGCCGGTACTCGTCTGTTGTTGGTGAGACTGCCGACACCTCTCATTCACCGGTGAAACGGCTGACACCCCTCGGTCGCCTGTGTAGGGAACGACGACGGCCCGGTGACGGGACATCCGCGTCCCACCACGTGCTGTCAGCGGTGGCTAAAGGAAAGGACGGGGCACTACCACGGCACACCGGGAAACAACCGACCTCGTTTGCGTTTGACAGTGCCGAATCAGATAACGCAGTTCCATTGCGTGGAATGAGCTCATCCGTTAAAATATGTAGCGTAGCGGTATCTATTCGGTATGTGTGATTGGGAAATCTAACTGTTCAGTTATCATAGTATTATGCTGGTACTATTGAGCATTGTTTAACGACATCAAATGAAATGTTTTGATTCAGACTTTTGTTTTCTTTCCTCTCCCAATGCATGAGCAGATTCAGGATTAATCTATATTTACATTGAAAGTGAAGCATAAGTGTCTATTTGTCTAGGTGATAACGATAACATCTACTTGCCAATTATTATTTCTTTAACTCTATTATTAGATACAAATGATACTGATAATGAATATTCTGCAATCTGCACGAGCAGGTAAGAAGATGCTAAAAAGCGGAAAACAACTGACCCCGTTGATAGCCTGATGCCGGTGGTTTCGAATATTCCAGCAGGGCATTTGTATTGTCTGGGCCGTTATTGTTGTGCAACACCTTCTCGTTTATCCAACCTGCAATGCCCACTCGTCCTTCCTTTGTTCACATTCTGATTGCATTTCTCGGTACTGTCGCTATCATTAGCTGTTAAGGCACTCCTTGGAAGAAGGAAGGGGAAATAATTGAGTCGTTTGACGCATCGGTGACCTTTGTATTACGCTGAGGGCTCAGAGCGTCAGCAGTCGATTGTCAAGGATAATCAGTAACCCTATCAAATGCGTCAGCGCTGCTGATAAGTGTGGTATCATTGCTGATCAACAGACATTACTAATGCACTCTGGGAAAGGAGTACATGCACATTGGCTGGAGCTGCTGCAGTAAGTATATTTTTTATGCTGCATCACTACGGTGAAACATCGGTCGGTGCCAACCGCCACGTAATTCGAGCATTACAAGTGAAAGAGAAGTTCCGTCATCAAGGTCATCATCACGTCAAAGACCGGAAAATAGAAAACATTAAGCATGCCTACTGTGTCTTGAGAACGTCTCATTAGATACCGGTGACTTTGAACATTAAAAAAAAAAACTTAACATGAGCTGGTTAGCTTGAAGAAACACAGCCTTTCATTTGCTCTGGGTTGATGACGAATCTCGTATTTTTTCACAATATCTAGCATGTGTGATTGCTTTCCAGCATTTGCTTCAATGCCATTTACGCTCAGTGATACCTACCTAGAGGTCACCCACGGTTGAATGTTCGGAATATCCGGCCTTGCTTATGATAACTCCATCAAAAGTTTGTGAGGAAAGCGGGATTGTTACAATTGGGTCGTAGCAGGATAAACGTACGTTGGATTTTAGATACGGCTCTTTGGCAACATGCAGCTTGTGCACGTATTTACGGACCTCTTGCTTTGCTCTAATCTGTTTCGCTTTCCTCTATCTGGCAATCTTCATCGATAATCTTATAGTAAGCACTGTAAGTCATTAAAAATATTCATGAAGTCGAACTTTCCGCTGTGGTTGATACGGCAGGTCTGGGCATCATTCAGTAGCTAAATGACGGGCTGGTATGTACGTAGGGGAGAGCGGGGCCAGTTGAACCACTTTTTATATATTGACATGCACAGCGAGATCTAGTTGTCATATCGAAAAATGCACAATGCCATGAAAAAATATGTTCTTTTGGCTTTATTTTAAGATATGTAAAACTATGTTTCAAACATATTTTGCTGCCAAACGCACGCTTATAAAACAGCTCTACACCCGTTTCAAATGACCCCGATGCGAGGGTCAATTGAACCAGCCCATGGGGTCAATTGCACCTATCCTTAACAATGGGATGTTTTCCTCTTTAAGGCCACTTTCTTAAGGAGATATTTTGTCCGGTTTACTTTTCCAAATGCTACATTCAATAGGTCGTTGGAAAGCTAAAAGTGCAAAGTTCCTCATAATAGGTGACATAAAGTACATAGACTATGGTAAAATGGGCGGATGAGGAAAATGAGAAATATCTCAGGCTATAGTGTGCTTTCAAGCAAAAGGCTGGAGAAAAAGGGGTCAAAAATTGAGCTCTATTAAACTACTATTTCATTTTAAAAGCTCATTTCAAAGGTGGACTATTTCCTTTAATGTTTACAGCCCCTGAACAATAACCATTGCAAAGGTCACCGGGGTCCATTGAAACGGCCTGTGGCCCTGTTTCAACTGACCCTCAGAGAAGCGTTTCAATTGACCCCATCCGCTCCCGCCATCTCGCACGCGCCGTAAAGCACCTGTCAAACGAGCTGGAGGGACGGCATCATGCTGAATGAAGGGCCAAATAAAGTGTTATTCCGGAGCCAGGAGTTCTTCTTTCAGCAAACAAAGGTATATGAGATATCACAAAATATTCATAAAAACGATTTCTCCCAAACGCCCCTCAAAAACACAAAAACAAGTGTCAAATCAAAATTACCGTCCGTTTGCCGCCTAAACGCCGTTGACAAAGGAAGTGGTCGAGCGCGGATGCGCAGTGGTGTCGGCAACGCCATATGTTGCATACTGTTGAAAATAAAGCCATGTTTCATCTGACCCCGTGTTTCAACTGGCCCCGCTCTCCCCTATCTTCACATTAGTGTCATGCGGGGCAGCTGATGTAGATAGCGCAGGTGTAGTTACCTACCACCTACCTTGGTTGTTTTCTCTTTTGGCGGAAACACGGTCTCGACTTCCCCTCCTCGCTCGCCCAGGTGTCTGCGTCTGCCGATTCCTTCTTGCGTAGCTGAAAGACGCCCCGAGCGGAGGGGAAGGAGACTTGGGAAGGAATGGGGTGACGGTGGGGCGGTGGGTGGGTCTGTTAGGATCCTAGTTTTACTCTCGCTGATGCACGTTGGTGTGGAACTCGTTCGGCGTAGGAAGACTATGGTGGTGATGTTTGCCAGCGTTGCCTTTCTTTCACGGATTTGTTTTCTTGTTGGATTTTGCTGCTCACATATCGATTCACACATACATCACTCGCACTCAAGACTGAACAGTGAACATTCAACTCGACTAATGTGCCCCGCGCCCTTGCCGACGGCTCGCCGGCGGGCACCCGACTCCGTCTCCCGGCCGGCCCGGGCGCGGCGCCGCGGCGCGGCCGTCCCGGTTACCTG